CTTTTTCGTCTTTCTCTCATCTGGACACACAAATTCCAATGATTTCAAAACCAGTTTTTGGTGGACGCACATACAGTAAGTAGAAGCAGATAGTGGTAAACCAGATTGTTTTCCTGAATTTTTAAAGGAACTACCCATCACGCCAACTTCCACCCGGTTATATTTGGTTTTAAGAATTATTGTATTCTTATACCTTAAATAGTGCCGCCAACTCAGTCTATTTTAGGTGGGCGTCTTCAACATAGCTTTGCCTCTCTTCACAGACAGGCGAGCCCTCATGAGTTGCTCACCACAAACAACTGATATACAATTGCTTGAATCTACGTTAAATTTAGTTTTTTCCTCCTACTTTTTTCACTTTTTGGATAACCATACGAGACGATACGTAAACAAAACTAGGTACTGTGGTACTGTACGACGATGAAGACCATGTGTTCCGCCAGGTCTGAACAGATCGAAGCACTAGTTAAAAACAAACTTTTTCACATACTAATGTAATACATAATCAATGATGATATTATTATCTAAGCTCCAACTGGTCTAAGAGCTCAATCCAAACCGCCTTGGCCCTGCACCGGTCACGTCAACATCTCATGTCTCTGGTGTTACAATTTCGTGCGTGCAAATGACGTAATCACCGCATAATAAAGTGTTGTCGGGGCGGAGCAAAATGTTGCAAGGCGGCCCGAGGCTCCAGAATGTTCCAAAATGTCGCAATTCCGCTTGAGGCCCGGGCTTGTCCCAGGTGATCTGCGGCCAGATACTGGGCTAATTTTACAGAAATTACCGGCAAGATTAAAACTGGGAGCTGCATTGTTCATGAACCTGCTCCGGCGATATCGATCAGTAAACATAGAGCGGTTTGACACAATTACTTTGCAATATATCATTAGCGATGATTGCATGTTATTTAGTGAGCAAACGAAATTGTATCGAATATCTGTGATTTGAATGTAATTTCGTTATTTTTAGGTAGTCAATTTTACCCGGAATAATGTTGTATTGTGCAAACCAAAGTATACCATTTTATACAATTGTAGTTTTTAATGGAGTGATTTCTGAGGGTCCTTTTATCTTTTTTCCTAGATAAGCGGGCTTAAATATTATCACGTAGCTAAAAACCATAGGTTGGGATTTTAATCCCAGGCTCAGGGCACAATACTCTAGCTAGTCTTCAGCAAAATGACGTAAATTAGTTACTGATTGTTTCTACCGGCTGACGTAGGGTCAAAAGTCAATATTTTTATAGATCCAAATGTTAAACATACGGATAAGTTAAAGCTCTCTTTAAAAGATAGAGTTTTTATCTAAATATTGCTGTTAGACAAAAAAGTCGCAACACAGTCGCTGTCAACCCATAAAGAGCTTACATACAACGGGCCGTGACGCAAGCCCAAAACAACTAATTTTAAAGTCAGTAACAAGTCACCTAATGATTCAATTATGAATTGTGTAAATTGTGTAATCGTGTTCTGTGTAAAATACTAATAGCATAAAGTAGTTTCACGGTGATAAGCGTCCGCTGTTTCATCACCGACCAACGTCCAGCTGCGAGAGATTCTGTACTTTTCTGAACCAGCACGTCTTGCAACGACCACGGTGACATACGAGCATTTTCCGAACAATACTCCCGAGTGCTGACTTACGAGGAGGTCGTCAATCACGTTGGGCGTCTTACATCCGACCTGTGATGAGTCGCAGGTACTTCTATGACTTGTTAAAGTTAACGGGACGCTACGCAACCGCTAGTGCTGTAAACTCTACTTAGTTTCCACTTAGTAGCTATATTCATCCACTAGGAAATGATGATTTGTGTTCATCGGTGTTGATTGTTTCTAAGTAGCTGATCCCCATTTTAGCGGATCCCATATATGAATGCTAAAATGCTTCATTATAGGAATCGTATATTTCGTAAGGTTATGTAATACTAATACACTTGAAAAAGGTTGGATTTGGTCCAGAAGTCTGTCAATAGTTGTAGACTAATAAACTCAGTATGGCCAAGAGGAAGTATTTGATATTTTCATACCAAAACTACGTAAAAAACTTTTCATACAATGTTACGGATTACGATGGAGTGATGGAGACTCGACTGGTTGCATTTTACCTAGTCAATGATTTTATCCAAATATGAGCGGAAATAATGTAGAATGAGGTGAGATTCCTAGAGTAGTGTTTATCAAAAGCAGATTTATTTAACGGCCTGGAGATTCGTAAAATTTCTTTTCTTCTTAAAGTTCTTGGCCATTTACACGATGGCGAAATACAACAGTAACCGTTGGCGAACGACAAAGAACAGCTAGATCCAATATCAAACAATTTATTAAACAAGCTTCATCGAATAGAAAATGCGACCTTCTGATTACCGATTACCAGGAAACACTATAAACACTATGTTTTGATTCAACTCACCTTTCCGCGGTGCTCCAAAGGAAAACGACCCGGATACCTTCAATACAGGATCAGCCGCAGGAAAGGCGTTTGGTGAAAGCGGTTTGAATTTGCAAACCTGAGCCTCAAGGCGTATTGATTAAGTGCCATTCCAGTAAAAAAACAATTCTGAACTTATTTAGCTTCTTGTTGGAGAACGAGATTGGTTTTGACACTAAAACCAATATATACTACGTCGACAGACGTTGCGTATTTTTAGGTGAAGATAAACGATGGGTGAGCGTTGAATTGATCAGATGACGTATTTGGTACTGAATAAGTCAATAAGATCATCCGGTTCTCGAGCCAGAGTCATTTATAAAAAGCCCATTGATTTAGACGATCTGGGTCCAATTTTGAACAGTCCAAAAGTCTCTGACATTTCTCGAGATGGAATTGGTGACCAATTGTTGACTGATCGTTAGACGAGCATTAAACAACATCAATAAGCTCAAACAGTTTTGGATGTAAACCATCTAATTGTGTTTAACTGATCCACAAGGGTCATAAAATCGCAAGAAAGTACAGTATGTCAATGCTTGACAATTACTTATTGATCAGGGTGTACCGGAGACCTGAGTGTGACCTTGCTGACAATAGTGATGCAAACGTCCATACAAGGTTTGCTATTGCTACTCAATGGCTGATTTGTAAAGCACAACCGTGCGTTGATTTCCATATCCCATTCTCAATTAAAAGGAGCCTTCTCTCTGTGTGGTTATGAACAGTTGAGATTTCCACGGCAATTACCACTTCCTTTCTATCGCAGATCTTTGTGGCGGGTGTTCTCACATAGCATCCTTCCACTTTGGTAATTACTCCTTGCATTTAATCACCGACATGAGGCCATTGCCGTTCCGCCGACACGTTGCAACGGCGTTTTACAGTTACAATGTACAGTAGTTGCATGGTCGTGGGTTTCTGCAACCTAGTTGCATCAAGTGTCATCTAAACGAAATAGAACAATTTTTGATATGAAGAGTTTTAGTGAGAGAGTTTTTCGAGCAAATCGAATTTGTAATTTTCCTTGACGCGTAAAAGAAAAGAAAGAAAGACTTTTCCTACTAAATAATTAAAGCTGTATATTAATTAATTATTAATATTCAGTGTATATTAATTTTTAGATAGAAACAGCCGCGATTGCTTGTTATCTTAACCGTTGTCATTTATAACGTGTAGATGTCACACAAGCCGTAAAAGGAGGGACTAACAGACCAACAGTGGTTGTAGCTGTAGACTGTATGCGAGCCAAGAAGCAGGTTTCATAGTCCGGTCTAGGAATGTAGTCCTTGGACTGATCTCGCTTCACGACTTCAACTTCAAGTAAAATCAAAGGCAAAAACTAACTTAGGAAATTAAGATTTAACGCTTTTCATATACTCATGAATACACCCAGGTAGTCTGTGGCCACCGCATGCTAATTTGATAGCAGAAGACATCCCATACCGATCAGGCAGTTTTGACTACCCCCTGTTACCTACTGCAGGTGAGATCCAAATCCCTGGGCTGCAACGGCATTATACATACAGTAGTTGCTGGAATCCACTGATTATTGGCAACATTTAAGTCCCCAGGCCAGAAGTCCTGACAAGTAATCCGTAGTCCAATTACACCCTTATGGGTGGCTGCATCATATAAAGGTGTAGTTGGACTAGGGATTATCGGTGGACAGGCTGGCCAGTAAAGCAAGAAAGAGCACATGTACACATACAACCTAAATCAATTACAACTTTTAATCATAAAACTTGATCGGTTTTCAGCTTAAGTTAAGGCACATTCATCACACGATACATTGTAAAGATCATTTGTCAGAGTAATTGTGCCGTTTGGCCAACAACCAACTGCAATGACGTGACTGGTACGAGTCATTTGACACTTTCTATCATCTTGAGGCCATCTCTGGAGTGAACGTACAGATAACTAATGTCTGATCCTTGTTAGGAGGATGATTCTAGTGACTGGGTTCCTACCATTAGCTAACGAGTGTCTCATCTCCATGTTAATTTATGCTTCCCTATTTTGTTCTATACATATCTCCTTGAGCTAGAAAGTGTGTTAATGATTCTTACGATGCTCATGGATTATTGTTTTCTTTGGGGGTTCCGATAGTTTAGTTCGCAATGTGCGATTTGTTTCTCACAGGTATTTGAAAGAGTTGGACTAGTCAGCTTTCTTAATCTTTTAAAAATCGCCGGGATGTGCTTTTTTCTTCGGCTTGTATCATGTTTAAAATGCCTTGATCTGATGATATTTCGTTGCTGCTATGAATATAACCAGTCCAACTCTATCTCATATTACTGTATCCGTACATAAATTGATAATATTAATGATGTACATTCTTTTTAGATCGAGGGTTTTTCAAAAACTCCTCAAATAAGTGTGAAAAATCTAGCGTGGCAGGTTTTCTTCGTTTTGAAGGTCCCTTTTTCTTTTCAGAGGTTTCTTGGACAGGCTGGCCAAGGGTGTGAGCCAAGATAGATTTCATTCAGCTTATATAGTGTGATATCCCGTAAAAAATCTTCTGCAGATGTATTTTGTAGGCCTACTTCATGTTGATGTTTTTGTTGCAGTTTGACTCGTACGTCAGGTCGCTCCATATTGACCCCGAGTCGCCGCTGTTCCGGCTCGTCACGGACGGTCAACTTCCCCTCAGGCAATGTCTCCACCCCGAGGCTTGCTCCAAGAACATCGACCTCCCCTCCTACTACTACATGTTCCACGACCTCAGGAAAGACTTCCGAGCATTCTACAGCGCTCCGGAAGACGCCGAACTCAACTCCGTCACCGATCTCGTCGATTGTATCCTTTCAAAAAATAGTTTAGTGGTCACACAATTTTTAGGATTTGTTCGAATGGAAAGTAGTTGAGTAGTCTACTAATGTGATCACCCATAATGTTTGACTAAAATCATTAGTCGGTTTACAATTAATTGTCGATCAATCGGTAAATTATTCTGAGGGATTCAGAAAAATGTTTGGTTAAACATTACTGAATATACTACCCAGAAAAATACTCACTTATCCTATTGTTATTTTCGATTGATATAGTATACTAATTATTAGACTATTGTTTCGATTATTTATTTCGACTAGTCGATGTCACATGTGATAGGTCACATCACTAAAAGGCCTATAAAATATTGTACAGTACGTAAGCACATGGTATACCACTGAACATTTTCCACGTGCATGCCTCGCCTCTCATGGTTATCCAGACATGAGTGAAGGGCTTGTGTCTAGTATACCGCTATTTTTTAGCTACAAGTCACATTGTATGTGGCCCCGGTCGGTCATAGCCCTTTATTCTAAGGCCGCCGCCTTTCACTGCATCACATACTGGTTTAGTGTCGTAAGGCCCAATTCACACCGAACGGACGTCGGGCGGAGACGTGGCACGGACGTGGCGAGGACATATGTCCGTTCCTCGCCTCCCCATGTAAACAAATTGGTCAATGCACACACAAGTGACGTGGCGCGGGCGGCCGCCCTCCCGCCACCGCCACGTCGCTTCGGCGTCCCTCGTGGCGTATCGGAAGTGGCATGTCCGTAGCGCGCCCGTTGTTCGGACTGCAAATATTGTACTATACTTACCAAACTTCTTGTGTATAGTGTGCTTGTACTTCAACCTTGTTGTGTAGAGTTGTTTTTGTGTGTAGATTGTAAGTTATTTCTTCAATATGTGAGACGACATTGAATTTAATATCAAATTTTGTGAGGAAGTAGAACAATTCCCTTGTTTGTACTAATTAAGTTGACAGAAATTAACTAACGCCATTGACATTAATAGAAATAAGCAAAAACCAAAGCGTCTAGTCTATATACAGGTTGTCTCGCCACTGTACCGTCCCTTCACCGTCCCTTCGGTGTGCATTGAAAACGCCACGTCACTGCCACGTCTCCGCCCGACGTCCGTTCGGTGTGAATTGGGCCTAACTCGTATAACGGGCTGCCATATCCCCGCCCTGTGGCCTAAATTTTGGTTAATGGTTTTTATAGAGCAATGCATTTTTATCTAGAGAAAGGGTTATGCAAATGGAAAGCAATGGTTTGAGTAGGTTTACTTAAACAGTATTATTCTGTACATTTATGAAGTGCGGTTCCGAAAAGTAAAGAAATTCAATCGTAAACACTGAAACTCTACTATATTTATAGATAGTTATTTATAGATATTAATTATTATAGATATTTAAAAACGGACTCCGCCATTAAAATCAGCGTGAAAATCTAGTTTATAATATGTGTCACAACACTATCATTACGTTTAATTTTTTTATTTATATCCAATATGGCGGATCCAAGATGGGGGCCATAAACGCGCTCACTATAGGTACTCAGGTACTAACCACCCAATAAATATCGGCAGTGGTCCCAAGTCGATTTCTCGAAAAATGTACATACAAAATGTATGTGGTATATATTTTTTCAAAATTTGTCCAATGTTGGGAAAAGCCGCCATTTTTAATCGTGATTTTAGGGGGTTTTCCGTCGACCGATTTTTGGCAGCTTTTGGTATGTCACTCTGCACACCCAACACCTCAAAATAAACCATGAATCGTTTTCTTACATTTTTTTAAGGTCATATCCAATATTTCTCTGACTACAGTACAATCTATTTATTACAATTTCAAACCAAATAAGTTAGCGGTTCAAATCCATGAGCCATTTTCAGTTCTGTATGTCCCAATGTCTTGTCGTGGTTCTAGGATCATCCGCTAGGTCGCTGCTCGGTCAATCGGTTCACTACGAGCTGCTGAAATCTGGGGGGATAATGCGTACTAATAGCTTATGTCGATAAAGTAGATTTTGAAATTACTTTGAAATTAATTGAACTGTTGGACTGTTATTAAAATACGAATTAATTTGGACACAATAATTTGTTTTGTAAAATTACACTTAGTTTATTACACTTAGTAATAAATGAAACTATATAGATGTATTTGATGTATAATGGATAACTTTGCATAAGTAACGGCCCATCTTCTGCAACGTTATCCAGTAAAGTATAGACCTACAGTAATAGGTTTAATTTCATGTTAATTTGTACCATTACCATTATTTTGTCAAAATTAATTCGTATTCTAAATGCTCCTTGGAGTGACAATGTTTGTTTATTAATTAATAAACTAAAGTTAAAAGGTCTAGGAAGGCGGTCTTAACCCAACCATTGACTATACACAGACAGACAGAGTAGACAGACTTCCCATCCAATATAAATATTTGAACGTGGTGCAATATGTTGAGATGGTGTACCAAATAATGACAATATTCTGTGTAAAGCGATAAATCAATCAGCTGTTGGCATGGATTTTAATTAATATTTAACCCAATAATACAATAGTACTCTTTATGAGATGGTCCTGGACTTAATCTATTTTCCTGTTTCCTGGCTTCAAATTTTTACTTTGGATGGGAAGTCTACTCTGTGTATAATCAATGATCCAACCTCCAACCCTAATTAAAACCAGTCTTCAAAAAATAAGTTTTAAGGTAGCCATGTGTAAAAGAAAACATATCTTTTTGTAATTTGTAAGTAAAGATTCCATATGCAAAAGATTAAAATGCACCCGGAAACATGCCAAACAGCGTGGGCGAAGATACATTCCAGACCGGTCAAGCAACCTTTCTTCTGCTGTCAGATTTTATCAACTCAACCGGTTGCAAAACTCTCCACTTTATACGTCCGTGCTTTCGGCAATTTCACAATGTAGTCTTATCTATTTATACGTCAGCTTACCATATGTATTCAATTTTCAAAGAAAATATAGGTTACTTAAGAGTTATTACACAATATTTTTTTAACTAAGTAATTTCAAAACATGGAAGAATGAAATATTATGTACATCTCATAACTGAAACGATTAGAAACATGTTATGGTATGTTGTATGGTAATATATCTTTTGTTTTTGAAAAAAGGCGTGTATTCAACATGAATAAAAAGGTGTGATTTTAACAGCCGATGATTTTGCTATGGTCTGTCCCAACTCAACAGCTGATTAGAGAAGGGGGAGGGTGAATACAAAAACAAACAAGAATCATCCTAAATGAAATGACGTCACGTCAACTTCATGTCATGTCTTTACGTTTGGAACAAAACAAAACAAGTGCTTTTCAAACTTCTAGTTTTGTTGATGATAATTATTACGCATTAGTATTTACAGTTTTCATCAATTTTTACCACTGTCGATCTTTTGGCTCATTTTGTTTTGTAAAAGGAGGTAAGTTTCTATTAGCATTTAAATAATAGACTAATTTTGTAAATTTATTGTGAACTTGGTCGGTGAGGTTATACAAGTTGGTCCCTAACCAATCAACAAGTGGTTACATGAAGAAATTCCCAAGTTGGCAGAAAATTCTTGCATTGACATAGGCTAGGTTATTTTGATTTTGGACACAAACTATCGAAATATGATAAAATTCCATAATTTAGCCCAATATTAACTATCATTTGTTGAAAGTTACATCCTATATGCCTTATAATGCTGATAAGATTTTTAACCTACCTTTTGACTTACAAAGTCAATTGTGTATAAATTAATTAACTTTTTTTAGCTATCTACATAATCTTCGCTATATTTACTAGAATTATGAATCACATTAAGTTATAGGGTTGCCATATCACCAGATTTACCCGGGGATTGCCGTTCAAAGTTTAAAACCCCAAGTGCATTTCCACTAAGTTTCGAAGTGAGAAATTACCTCTTTTTCACCATCCATTAAGACACACTAAATACCCTTTAGAATAGCTTAAAATAAATGTTTGCGTTCATAATTGTAGTGACATAGCCTAAAATGCTATCTCTTGTACTCTCTCCTACAGTAACGTTTTTTATTCCTTAGTTTCACTTTGCCTAGCAATTTCGTGAGTATATTGTCTCTGTCCTTCAACTTGCGCCTGCCGGCCAGCCTGAAGGTGTAAGAGTGGTCTTTAACCAAGCGAAACCGAGTCTAGCAGACAGAATACATTTTGTGTAGCCTACGTTATATTTGTTGTTTTTAGTGAGACGCAACATATGCTTCGTGTACAATACCTATTTGAACATTGAATAAATGGGTTTATAGGCCTATACAGTTTTGCCAGCCCCTTATTTTCTATCCACTGTGGGGGCCGCCAGCTAAAACCTTGGGGATGCGGAATACTACTGCCCGGAAAACCATCCCCCCAGGTAAAACGTGACGTCATGAAATCTGCCAACTAACCAATATGGGAGCCGTGTCCGCACCTGGAATACTACCCCCTTAGCAAAATATTATGCTATGTAGCCCTAATTGTAATTTAAATTTGAGTAATTCCGTTGGATAACAGAATGGCATGTGGGGAATATTAAACAGAATTTCAAATTGTTACAGCAAGTTTGGTTGGCAAGTTAAGGTTAGGTTAGTTTAGAACAGTTTGACAACAAAACTTGAGTTTCCGTTACTGGAAAACTGCCCCCCCCCATCTCTGACGTCAACATGACGTAGGTACCTGCTTGGGGGGGGGGGGGGGGTAGTTGTCTGGGGGCAGTCTTCTGGTGACCAAAAATTTTCTCTTTTTAACATAAAAACATATGGCAACCCTATAATAACAGTATCACGATTTTAACATATAGGCCTATGAACTGTTGGCCCGTCCTAGGTAACTTATGAGAGTCGAGTAGTCAATTCAAACTGAATGAATCAATTTTGGTTTCTACTGACGTACTGCAACTTATTGGACAGTTTTCTAAAGACCTACTCCACCGGTTGACATTTTCACTACCGTACCAACCAATATTTTGTTATGCCGACATTCTCACATTTGAACATCAAGAAAAGAAAAA